ATAAATATATATAATATTATAAATATACTGTAAATGCGAATGAAATGAGCAAATTATATTGCATGCTTATGCTTACCATAGCATTTTCGGGAAACAAGAAAAAAAAATTCTAAACCAAGATCCCTATAAAGGAAAACTTACATATAAGCTCCTCAACTTTTTCCCTCGACAATTCAGTCCTAAAATTTTGGGAGGTAAATCCAGCTCTCAACTTATCAAGAAAGTCTAGAGTATCACAATTAACAAGGATACATACATGCCGTCCCCTTAAAATGTACCAACTCAACAAGAAATCAGTAAAATTGTTGAGTTGGAACAATTTTATTGTGGGATAGATTTTTCTAACTTATTCAATTTATGAAATTTCTACCTAAACTAAATAACTCATCCTGTGACACACGAGGCATTATGGGCATTAAATTTGCTAGGATGGAAATTCTCGAAGGAACAATGAAAAACACACATATGATTGCTTATCGAAAAGTATGATTGCATATTGCTTGGAGTAACTGGCAGGACAGAAGAAATTATCTGTGCACTTGTGCTGCAAGTACTCTCTTGCTGTGTTCTTCATTTTCCATTACCAATAGTCTCCACAAGAACAAAATCCATTTTTGAAATGATGAAAACGCTTGTTGTCTCTAATGATTATTTCCCTTTCAACTGCCTTTGATATCAACTTAGCTGCATTGTGACAGTCTACACAAATGCGCAGATTCTTGCACACCCTCAGTGTTTCACCTTTAGCTGTCCTCAACAAGCCAAGAGAAATCGCTAGTTTCTCGGTGTGCCCTCGCAATACTTCAATCTTCTGCTCTTCTCCTAGTTCATGTAACACAGAATCTGTGTGGGGTTTATATCCAATTCTCTTTATTTTTTCCTCTAATATTCTCCACATATGACGGATCTCTTCTAAGTTTGGTGACAAGCCATCACCAACAATAAAACTATAAACTTTTCCCCCAAGTTCAATCCAACTGCGGCCAGGATCTTTCTGCAGGCCATTCTCCTTCATTTTTTGCCTTACTCTTCTCACATCATCCCATTTCCCTGATCCAGCAAATAAATTTGAGAGTAGGACATAATTCTCTGCTTTACTAGGCTCCAAATTCATCAACTTTTCAGCAACTTTCTTCCCCATATCCACAGCACCATAGGATCTACAAGAACTGAGTAACGAACTCCAGATTCGTGCATCTGGTTCCTCAGGCATCTCTTTTATGAGCCTTAAAGCTTCATTCAGTCGTCCAGCACGTCCTAGCATATCCACAACACATGCATAGTGCTCTAATTTGGGCTTCAATCTGTGAAAGTTTTGCATCTGGTCAAAATACTTCAACCCCTCTTCAACCATTCCAGAATGGATGCATGCCATTAAAAGACCAATAAAAGTGAAAGCATCAGGCTTATAACCAAATGTCGGCATCTTTTCATATAGCTCCACTGCCTCTTCTCCATGTCCATGAATTCCATACCCCAGAATCATAGCATTCCATGATGCTACATCTTTTTCCCTCAACATATCAAAAACCTTTTGAGATTGTTGTAGACAGCCACTCTTTGCATACATGTCCACGATTGAACAACCAACAAATACATCTTCCATGAGGAGAGCTTTCAAAGCATAACAATGTGCTTCTTTTCCAAGCCGCAAAGCTGATAGCTGTGAACAAGCCCCAAAGACACTATTTATGGCAATTTCATGAGGTTGAATTCCATAGGAAATCATTTGACGGAAGAGAACAAGGGCTTCATCTGGAAGTCCATTCTGTGAGTAGCCTGCAATCATAGCATTCCAAGACACCAAGCTTTTATCTTCCATCTTATCAAACAATATTTGTGCAGAAGCTGATTTGCCACAATGAATATAAAGTGACACTAGTGATATAGCAAGGAACGGATCAATTTCTAATCCATTTCGTAGCAAGTATCCATGAATCTGTTTGCCATGGTAGAGAGATTTCTGATGGGCACAAGCCAAAAGTAGGCTACCTAAGCTAAACCAATCAGGTCTTAAACCAGAATTTGCCATTTGGAGGTAAAAATCCAAAGCTTTCCAAGGATTACCACTCTGTGCATATCCACCAATCAGTGCATTCCAAGAGCTTACAGTCTTTTTATCAATACAATTAAAGACATGCTCAGCAGAGTACAGTGAGCCACATTTTGCATAGGCTGCAATTAAAGCATTGGCTACCAATTCTTCATATTCAAAACCATGTCTAAATGAGTAACCATGAAGTTCCTTCAAGGAAAGCAATTCCGACTTCTCCAAACAGGCTGGCAGCACATTCAATATGGTAATTTCATTTGCCTTCAGTTCATCCCCTCCCATCTGCATTTTTCGCAGAAGATCAAATGTCTCGTTATTATACCCTTGTGTAGAAAGACCCCCAATCATTGTATTCCAAGAAACCACATTTTTGTTATCAGTCCTAGCAAATAAGATTTTGGCTTGAGATAAGTAGCCACACTTTAAGTACATGTCAGTTAAGGCATTATTCACCATTAGTTCCTGATTCAGCCCCAATTTCACTGCCAAGCCATGAACCAACGTTCCCATTCCTGCATCTCCTTCCCCTGCAAAAACTGGCAAGATGGTCACAAGTGTAGCAGCATCCGGTGTTACACCTTCCTCACATGCCATCATCTCCCTAAACAACTCCAAACCATCCCTAAAAAACCCATTCTCAGAAACCCCACAAATTATTGAATTCCAGGAAACCGCGTTTCTCTCAGGCATAAAATCAAACACATCCATCGCCTTATTCACAAATCCACACTTCCCATACATCGCCACCAAAGCATTACCCACAAACACATCCCCAAGTAAACCCATCTTCACCGCCATCCCATGAACCGCCTGCCCGCAACTCACATCCAAAATCCCTCCACAAGCCTTAATTACACAAGGCAGAGTGAAATTGTCCGGTTTAAACCCCGTATTCGATACCAGCTCCACAAACATCATCAGTGCATCTTCATAAAGCTCATTTCTTGTGTACCCACTAACCATTGCATTCCACTGAAACAAATTCTTCTTCTTTAAACTATCGAAAACCGAACGGGAATCCAATGCAGACCCGCACATCGAGTACATGGTAATCAAACGGGCATTCAGAACAAAATCATTGCTAAATTGGTTCGATGTTGCTACCATCTCATGGATTTTTCTGCCGGTTTCTATGTCCTTGTGTTGGCCACAGGCCTGTAACAATAACCCCATGGCTTCTTTCCTCTGTAACGAACTGAGAGTATCACTTCCAATGGCATCTTGAGAGTTATCTTGCAAAAGAATCAAAGCATCGGCGAGGTTTCTGGACTGGCAAAGGTTGGTTATCAATTGGAGAGGAAATTCATAGGCTGAGGTAGAGGGTGTCTCTGTTTTCGATGTTTGGGAGGAAAGAGAAAGAGATGATCTAGGCTTGAAGATAAAGCGCGAAGAGCGCCTGTTAATGGGACGGTTGGCGTTTCTTTTGGTGATAGAAGGTTGGTGGTGGTGGTGGAAAGAGTGTGAGAGCAGTGGCAACACCAGTACCATGTTGAGCTGTTGTAGGGACGCCATGGAACTGGTAGTGGCATATCGCATATGACCCTAGCTGCTCGTCTCAAAAGTTGACTACCGTTTTTACGGTTCAACAATGAAAAAAAATGAGAATTGCTAAGATTTCACATGGCATGCAGGTCCTCACAACCCTTATCGTCTTGTTCATAAGTTTGTTGTTTAAGTTTTACGGACTATTCGGATTGGGGAGGTTGGACCGAAAGCAAGAGCATGTTTGGTGTGCCGGAGGTTTTAATAGAATTTTTATTAAAGGGAATTTGTTGTGAAAGGATTGTTTTTGATAAATTAAAAGTATTTGATAAAATTTTTTATAAAAGTATTTAGGGAGTAA